TTTGCAGACGACACCAAGCTGGCAGGAATAGCCAACACTCCAGAAGACAGACTTAGGATACAGGAGGATCTGGACAGACTTGAACACTGGGCGCTATCTAACAAAATGAAATTCAATGGTGAAAAAAGTAAGGTTCTACATTTAGGCAAGAAAAACCAAATGTACAGGTATAGTATAGGGGGTACCTTGCTCAATAGTAGTAACTGCGAGAGGGACCTTGGAGTCCTAGTGGACAATCATTTAAATATGAGCCAGCAGTGTGCTTCAGCTGCCAAAAAAGCCAACACAGTGCTAGGCTGCATTAACAGAGGGATAGAATCAAGATCACGTGAAGTATTAATACCACTTTACAATGCCTTGGTAAGGCCACACTTGGAATACTGCATCCAGTTTTGGTCACCACGATGTAAAAAGATGTTGAAACTCTAGAAAGAGTACAGAGAAGAGCAACAAAGATGATTAGGGGACTGGAGGCTAAAACATATAAGGAACGATTGCTGGAATTGGGTATGTCTAGTTTAACAAAGAGAAGGACGAGGGGGGTCATGATAGCAGTGTTCCAATATCTTAGGGGCTGCCACAATGAAGAGGGAGTCAGGCTATTCTCCAAAGCACCTGAAGGCAGGACAAGAAGCAACGGATGGAAACTAATCAAGGAGAGAAGCAACCTAGAACTAAGGAGAAACTTCCTGACAGTTAGAACAATTAACCAGTGGAACAACCTGCCTCCAGAAGTGGTGAATGCGCCAACTCTGGAAGTTTTTAAGAAGAAACTGGACAGCCATTTGTCCAAAATGGTATAGGGTTTCCTGCCTGAGCAGGAGGTTGGACTAGATGACCTCCGAGGTCCCTTCCAACTTTATCATTATTATTATTATTATTATTATTATTATTGTCAATACCTCCCCCGCCTCCTTACTCTAATGACAAGTTGAAACAGAGAGGCACGTAGCTGCCCATCTTTCATTCTTGACAAATGGATTGATTGATGGATTAAGTTGTTTTTCTACTCTTAATGATCACATATCTAGATTTTCTCCAGGACAATCTATCCCTAACCTAATATTTTAGTCTTCGAACAGTGCAATTGATGCTACAACTGAGACCATCCACCTTGCTACTGGTAGTTGTCTTCTTCTCTTTCCTTCCACCCACCTTTCCCAGCATTAGAGCCCTAAAGAGACTGGTGGGAAGAGATATAATGTCTAAGGGGAGTCAGCTGAGAATCAGTGTTCATCAAGAGCAATCAATCAATGGAACAACTTGCCTTCAGAAGTTCCATCACTGGAAGCATTCAAAAAGAGACTAAAAAATCATTTGTATAGGTTCTCCTGCTCGAGTAGGGGATTGGACTAGAAGACCTCCAAGGTCCCTTCAACTCTATTATTCTATGTTCTAAGAGAAATTCCCTTAAAACCAAGGTTCCCACTTTCATAATAATATGAACCTAATTCTCAGGCTGCCCTAAAGACTTTTTCAGTACCATATCATTAGGCGTCCTTCTTCTCTTTTCAATTTCAGATCAGCTACACTTTTACTTCACCATCCATGAATGATAAAACTCAGTTTCCTTTTTTCTCCCGGACCGTCCCCAAAGAAGGTTCTCAATATTGGGGCATTATTAAATTGCTCCAATACTTTCGATGGACGTTCACTGGGGTCTTTGCTGCAGCCACTGATAACGGAGAACATTTCATCAAGACTTTCACTCCTGTGCTGGCACAGAACGGCATTTGTGTTGTTTTTGCGCAACCCGCCTTACTGAACACCAAGAATTTTGACTATCTGATTTCTGTTTTCCACAAATGGAGGCAAATCAATGTATTTGTCTACTATGCAGAATTTACATCTTTCTTAGATGGAATAATTATTACTGATTATATATTTAAGCTTTTGGGGAAACCTGTTCTAGGGAAAGTGTGGATCACAACAGCTTTATGGGACCTCACTATGGAGATAATATATAGTGATATTCCTTTCAGATATACCCGAAGTATTTTTTCTTTTCTTATCCAGACAAAGAAAATGAACAGATATGATGGTTTTAAATATTTCTACCGTCTTATGAGGCAACTCACTCATAAACATTTTCATTGTTCATATGCCAAGTCAGCCTTGTCTGTGAAAGGCCAGACAAGGTGTTCAGAGAAAGAGAACTTGGAGACTGCACCTCAAGAGAAGATTGAAAGGATCTTCTCTCTAGACAATTCCTTAACTTACAATGCCATCTGGACAGTGGCACATGCCTTAAATGCGGCCTATTCCTCCCAATCCCCAAGGACAATAATGGAGAGAAAAGATAAGTTGGAAGTTCAAAAGCTTCAGCCATGGCAGGTATTCCCTTCCCCATCCCATACAAAAGAGTGAAATATATATGTATTGAATGTGACTGGTTTAGCTCCAAAGGTACTTCTTCCAAAAGGCAAGTGGACTTTCTTGGGTTTTTTCCCCCTTGGAAAATATTTTACTTCTCATCCAAGAAGCTTCTTCAGTTCTGAAGGAGCCTTTTGGATGAAAAGCTAAACATTTTCCATCTAGTTGGTTTTTTGAAAAAGCACCTTTGGGACAATCATATCCTGGATTTTGGGCTTGTGATTAAAAAAAAATTGATTTTGGTCTTGTTGATTAGATAGATTTGTTGTTATAGAAATGGCTAGTTATATACTAATGCGTAAAAGCAGAAAGTTGAGGCTGGAGTGTTTTTATCTTGTACTGTGATAAAAAGAGTTGGAAATCAACGCCTTTTCTTTCTTTTTTTCCCCTTGTACCTCATGTTTTCTTTTTACCCTCTCTTTTTCCTTCCCCTAATTTCTTATTTCTATTTTTCTTTGTACTTTATATATTAAATAAATTTAAAAATTAGATAAATAAGAGAAATATTTTGCTTCTCATCCAAGAAACTGCTTCAGTTCTGAAGGAGTTTTTTGGATGAGAAGCTAAACATTTTCCATCAAGTTGGCTTTTGGAAAAAGCACCTTTGGGACAACCATGACCTGGATGATTGAGAATCTCCGTACACAGGTTTAGTAATTCCAAAATTTCCTGATTGTTAGAAAAATTAATCAGTGGAACAACTTGCCTCCAGAAGTTGTGAATGCTCCAACACTGGAAGTTTTTAAGAAGAAATTGAACAACCATTTGTCTGAAATGGTAGAAGGTTTCCTGCCTGAGCAGGGGGTTGGACTAGAAGACCTCCTTCCAACTCTATTATTCTATTCTGTTCTGTTCTGTTCTGCTCTGCTCTGCTCTGCTCTGCTCTACTCTGCTCTGCTCTGCTCTGCTCTGCTCTAGTCTTGTCTCGTCTCATCTCATCTAGTCTAGTCTAAAATCCATTCTCTACATTTCTCTCCAAATGACATATGCATTGTAGCAGTAATATTTCAGTAATTCTTTCCTTTAATAAAATTCCTTGGTTTCATTCCTCTTTCCCTGTTTAGGTTGGTCTCTGATTGTGCCAAGTGGTGATTTAGTCTTGGCTCTTCTGTTTCTGTTCATGGATATTTTCTTTTCTCAATTTCAAGAATTTGAAATTTGAGGAAAGAATTTATATACCCTTCTCTTTGTATTTCCTACCTTATCATTTAATTGCATCATTTTTATGGGGCCCAAAATCTGTCAGAATGAAAATAAGTCAAAGCTCACTCATTTTCTTTATATATATATATATATTATAAAAAATGTAAAGTAAAAGAGTGTCAAGTCTGCTAACATTGGATGTTATTGCTTGACATAAGTGAAGAAGCAAACATATCTATTTAGTCTACATATTGCCTCAAGAGCAAAAGCAGGCATTGCGGGCCAGATGAGGGGGGAGGAATGCCTGTGAATAACTAAATTATCTTAGCATAGCACAGCCAAGGTCAAAGCAGTAGCAGTTTGTAATAACAGAAGAAGATTCACACCTCTGTTTAATTGGAGCATATGATTGATGACTGTGAAAGGAGGGAGGGAGTTGTGCTTGTCGCGAGAGCTAGGAGGGGGGGGTGTTTCAGTTTTTGGCTTTACTTCGTTCGTGCCGGATTATGTAACTCATTAAAGGATTCTTTAAGGTAATTATGCCTAAAAGTTCTCTGAAAAGTTATTTCTTTCGGAACATGACATTAAGCCAAAAACTCAAAACTTTTAAAACCATTTAGGGGTCCCTTACCCCAGTCACTATCCCTAAAATAACGGGGA